TAAATACATATATATTTTCAAACTGAAAACTAAGATAAAATGAGAAAACTTAGCTTTTATAAAAATCCACAGAATTAATCAACTTGAGAAGAAATTACAGTTAATATATAACACTTTGGCACTACTAACTACAGTCAGTCTATAGGAAATAAGTTTTTAAGCCCAAAACTACATAAATTTCGTTACAGTGATTTATGTTTATTCCGCTTATAAACGAAAAATGTTAAAACCAATTTAGTTAGTAATAATTATTAAAAGAAAGAGAAGAAGAAGAAACCCTTGAGAAAAGGAAATTAGTTGCTTAATGAGCAGCGAGCGAATGAAATTGTAAACTTTCATCAATTTAATGAACGGACAAATTATGAAAATGGATAAAAGAAATCCAAAGAAAAATCAAACACCAAACTGCGAGGCGTGTTTAAAGATTTATACACATACACACAACACACACACACAGAGAGGGATGTGTTATACTTTGTTGAGAGCGAATTCAACTGTTATATTAAATGGCGCCAACTGTCATATGTGTGCCTGCGCGCGTGCATATAACAGTAATGGATAGTCTATTGTTAATCAATGCTAACTAGAAATGAAACCAAACAGCGTGCTTCTCAATTAACTGTTCCATTTACAGCAATTTATAAATTGTATAACAAAATGTCATTTGTTGTCCACCGCTTAGAACCGAAATACAACATACAAAGTTACAGACTTACATATGTATGTAGGTGTGTATGTAGGCAGTCAACAAACACACATACACACCCACAGACAGGATACGCAGATACATACATACATATAGATTTTGATAAATATCAAGAGTATAACAAGAAATACGCTACACACAGATACACATACATACATATATGGCTCGACCACAAACTCTAAGCAGAATCAAAAAGAAATTTACTCAATAACTAACAAAAATTAATTACTAAATAAATAAAATACAAATTATGAAAGAAGCATAAAAATGTATATGAGAACAGCATTATGTATATCTAAGACATTTAACATTTCGCCTCTTAAAGCAATTCTAAAGATAACAAATTNTATAATATAAATTGAGAACTGCTCTTAAATTACTTAAAATTACCTCAATATATAGTTTCCCTTACGAATGATGTAGTTGCAGCCGTTTCTCAAGCCCGCGCAAGCTGTTTGTGTGTGAATCGATCGGAGCTGTGGCGAGGTGTCTGGGCAATTGCAATAGTTTGTGGCAAAAATCGATGCACTCAAGAAGAAATGCGATTTGTTATAATTTTTCCTTTTTCTCATCTACAGTTCGTGAAATGCGGATATGCCGGCAGCAATTTTCCCGCGCACATTTTCCCATCGATGGTTGGTCGACCAATAATACGGGCGGTCAACAAAATTGGTGACATCGAAGTTAAGGTATGAGAAGCGTATTTACCAATAGACAAACACACATACATATACATACACTAAAGGAACGCACATCAATCAACCAATCAATCAATCAAAGAAACCGTGTCT